GTTGACAATGCGATAACAATGCCACTCGCACTGTGCACATTTTAGCACTAGATCTAGTGCCATTTTAGCGCTAGATCTAGTGCCATTTTAGCACTAGATCTAGTACTTTTTCGGATTAGTGCTACTAGCACTAACCACTCGCACTACGCCCATTTCGATACATTTACATACATGTAATTGCACATTGTTTGTAACATGCTTGATACAATATTAACATATGTATATTTATACTAACAGAAGATGCCTTTCAAGTGGCCAATTAAGCCTCTTAACTGGCTTATTTCCTTTTGTTTCAACCCAAGTTAATCCTGATAAGGATATTGTCTAGCTCATCTTTGATGTCCATGATAGTTTGCGATTGTTTACACAAGTAACGAGTTAGCAGACTATGATATAACCTCACTGATTTTTAACGTGACCATAAAATGTATGTGCATTATGAAACGACCATCGGATGTGTGCACTCGGTTTGTTTAGGTGTGACAGGTCAAAATACGTACATGTATTTCACAACCAGAAATTCAACAGATGAACGTTTGATTTCACATGTTTTCATTATTAGCAATTGTAACAAGAACAAGATTTTGAGCGTCTACAACAAAAATCCCTAAGAACTCCTAAAATAATAATATCGCAGAGAAATTGTCTAGGCATGCCCTTCTTTTGATACTATCTTTTCTGGTGGTGTTCGCCGATGCCTGGTGGTCGCAAATTTTAAACTGTTTTGGGCGTCAAACCCACACACTGACACTGGTACCATTGAATAATGCAATCATTGTCACAGGCAGTCTTGATTACGTCTCATCACCATGGCATTACAAATACAAAAAGATTCATGATAGCTCATCAGTTGTTCTTCAATCGATGTTATATCTGCCAATTTTCTATTCCAACTTGATGTCATTGTCAATCTTGTGCATGTGCAGCTTGTCTATCCTGCTACTGAACATGCTCCGAATATTACCGAATGCTCGAGATTACAGTGTAGCATAACCCATTGTAAGAAAGTGCCAAGAGCTAACAAAAACCAATGTTTGTGAACAAACATTGACAAACAATCTTACGGTAAAGCTAAAACAATAGCGTCTTGGCTCCTTCCGTTACTACCTTCCATGCATATACCATGGAACTATAGGGTTTATAGTTCCATGCATATACTAAGGCATTGGATTCTGCCTGACAATACATTATCTCCCCATATAGGATTATCCATGTACTAATGCAGGCATTGGATCCTGCCTGACAATGGATGGTACTGTGGAATGTGATGCAAGTATAATGGATGCAACTACTTTAGGATATGGAGCTGTTGGTGCGATCAAAGGTACACATAACTACTCTGAATGCCAGATGGATTATTTACTGGTAATCAATCAATTATTACAAGTACAAGTTGTATAATCTGGGATATATTGCATGTGTTCATGTATGTAATCAGCAAGCATTACTGAAAATCAGTGTTCTCCACGCGTTGAACTATATTTTCCAATCGCAATAGGGTTCACTAATAATAATTGATGTTCATGAACAGCAATCTTTCCTGCAAATGAGCCAGAACGATGTCCAGAGTATGCACTCACAAATTTCAATAATTGCATTAATTGATACATGGGTTATGGAATATCAAATACATGACCCTACATTATCAGATTCATTAAACTTGTGTAGTAATTAACTACTCTAATTAAATAAATCTGATATTGTTGGGTTATTCATTAGATACCCTCTATATATTGAAGATTTCATGAATTAATCTTTGTAATATAATGTACAAATGTTTGTTTTACCTAAATGAGTTCAGTTCATTTTCATTGATCGTATGTTAAAAGCAGTATAATTTTTCTCTAGTTTATTCCATGCCCCTTTATCAAACATAATGAAGATAAAGAGAAATGACACAATCTAAAGTAGTGTTAATATGTTGCAGGTATAAAGAATCCAATAAAAGTGGCACATTGTTTGCTGACTGAAGAAAACAAAGGCTTGTTATCACTTGGAAGAGTTCCCCCATGGTAGGGCATTGCATTTATTGTGACATTTTGACTGTGTCTAATTGGGTACATAGAATAGAGAGAATTCTCTTGCTACAGTAATAACACTGCAATAGGTTGTAGATGTTGGCGGACATGCAGGAAATGAAATGAGGGACTTAAGTTGTTGGTTCTGTGTAGGTATTCATCTGTCTGTTCATCCAACATGATTTCTTTGATACACCTTAAGCAATTGTGTTCAAATTGGTACAAAAACAAGACATTACAAAAGACATTTTTCCATTGATTTGTTTTTCATTTTGTATTTGCCTCCCCCCCCCCTCAATAAAACAAAAAATAACCATTGAAGATCAACCATTAAAAAATCATCAAAATCAAGCTCTTCTGCCATTCCATAACCAGATCTTGGTCATGTATAATAGGATTTTGTTCAAATTGCTGCACATCATTTTGTTTTTCAAATCAGATTCAGAATGACTGGTTGTTGATCATTTTGTTTTATTGACTGCTGTTTCAGAGCTATATCTTTGACATGCCTTGACCAATCATGTTCAAATGTCATATATACATTGTATATCATATTCCACATAATTATTATTTTTTTTTTTTGATGACCAGATTCAGGATAGCAGTTACTTTAATCTTGAAAATTAATCAAAATCAAGTATTTTTGCCATAACAGAACTTGATCTTGGTCGTGTAATGACGGATAAACCTATTTGATTTATAAGCACATTAACACAGTGTAAATTTAAGATAATAATCTGGTACCCATTCACATGTCAACATTAGGAGATTTTGAAAATTATACTTTTATATCAAAAGTAATGCTAATTTATTTATTAAGCATTCCTAAATTGTCCTAAATTTTAACTTATATTTTATTGTTCACTATTGTGTAAGAAGTACCACCCATTTTAGGTGTGTCAAATGTAAATGATTTTTAAATATATTACCTAAGCATTCATGCAGTTTGTGTATTGTTTTTTCAATAATAGTTTTCTAACTGGCGATGGGGCATATACCTGGGCCAAAGAACATGGAATTGAAGAAATTCATCCAGATAAAATGATCACAGAGAATGCATTGTCATCCTTTAAGAAATACAGACAAAAACTACTTACATGTACTAAAAGAGACTGTGCATCCACTGGAAATGTGCATAAAAAGAGGAAAACAGATATGGTGGTATGATTACTAATAATTCTATACCTGCATGCAGTGACAACAAATAAACTTTGAGTTAAATAATTTCAAGGATGCTCTGCTTCTTTAGTAAAAAATTGCATACTTCTAAAGAAATGTGAATTGCAGCTTATCACTCATGAAATTAATGGGTGGATATTAAAGCTTAAAGAGGCACTTCCAGTTAAGCCTAATCTCACAACAAATTTACTTTCTGGATTAAAATTACAATGGATTACAAAAGATAGATTAACAACATAAACAATAGTGTCCCATGATTTTTTGGTGCAATCCATGGGATTGAGCGGTTCCCCTTTAACAATGTTGGAAAGTGGCATGATTGGAAAAGTTGTTTTCACATAATTTTGTCTTTTTTTTCAGTGTATAGATAATGAGCTTTTGGACACAGTTGGAGCTATATCTATTGATTGTCATGGCAACATTAGTAGTGCTGTTTCTAGTGGAGGTATATCACTAAAACAACCTGGTAGAGTAGGACAGGTGCGTAAATTAGAAAATGATAACATATTAATATTTATCTTTATCTAATATAATAGTAATTTTTAACAAAATCATATGTGTCAATTTCATAGTGACATGTTTTTGCTGTCAGTTAATGGATGTTCTGCTGCATATTTTACACCAATATCAAAAGTCAATATCATCCAATTATGTATGATTCAACACGCAGATACCATGAGTTGTGGGTTTGGTTAAATAGCTTAATCTTTATAATAATTAGTCCTTGTCAGATGTAATCTGAAACCAGCACTTGTGTTTTGGGTTCCGTTTGTGAGACGTATTTTTACAGACTTTTCTCGATTGATTTTGTTGGCATGTGGCAAGTCATAATGGCAGACCAATCGGTATACATGCTGATTAGTTTTTTAGCTCCGCTGTCGACTTTGTCGAGCGGAGCTTATCATATGAGTGATTGTCCGTCGTCCGTGTCAATGTTTTACTTTTTCGACTTCTTCTTGAAAACTACAAGCCTGAATGCTTTGATACTTGGTGTATATGTACCTTGGGTAGACCTCTCTTAGGTTTGTTCATTTCATATTGATATCTTCAATTCTCTAATTTTGGTGAATATTTTTGTCATTTTTGTAAAAAGTGATATTTTCGACTTCTTGTTAAAAAACGCAAGTGCAATTGCTTTGATATTACATATATAGGTACTACATGTGGACCTCTCTCAGATTTGTTCATTTTGTAATGATATCTTTAATTCTCTAATTTTGGTGAATATTTTTATCATTTTTGGTAAAAAGTGATATTTTCGACTTTTTGTTAAAAACCGCAAGTCCAATTGCTTTGATACTACATATATATGTACTACATGTGAACCTCTCTCAGATTTGTTTATTTCGTGATGATATCTTCAATTCTCTAATTTTGGTGAATATTTTGGTCATTTTTGGTAGAAAGTGATATTTTTGACTTCTTGTTAAAAACTGTAAGTCCGATTGCTTTGATACTATACATATTGT